GACCACACTATATCCTCACTGAAAAGAGAGTGATCCTTTACAGATATGTCTGCTTGTGTCACTTCATTGCTGCATGAACCATTCAAGGGTAGTTCAGTAGCAAGTATCACATAACTTTTAAATTAATGCCACTTACACTAAGAAAATAAAATATCATTGTTTTAATTCCAAGATAATTTTCCCTCAGATTTCCTGGAATCTCATTTAAATACTAAAATGTGAAGATGTCTTATAAGAGTAATCTGTATCATCGAATTTGAAGGTGATTATTTTCTGAAAAGTTCATTTAAGGAAACTTATTTTCTCTTTGGTCATAAACATCTCCTTAACAAACCCAGGCATTAACATCAGTGCAATGCTACTTGCAAGCTTTGTGTAGACTCTGAATTTGGACTTCTTGCATCTGGATTCTGCTTTGCTACTTGGAATCGTAGCACATTTGTGTATAAAGAAAGATAATAACATCCATAACAACCTCAGAGAATTTATTTGAAGGTCCAGTACGAATGCAAAGTGCTTAAAGCAATGCCCGATGTGTCATAAGTATTATATATGTAAATATAAAATATATGCATATTATATAAAATATGTATTTTATAAATACATAAAACGTGAATAAGAAGGAAATTCAAAAACTTTGTGGAAAACTGAATTAAAGGATAAGGTCTTAAAATTTTTGCATATTTAGGGGTCTTCCAGAAAATCATGAAAAATGTATATTATGAAAAAACTATGCATGGATTTAAAACCTTTTTTGCTCAATATTTCAGTTTTACTTTTCCATGAAGCTTTTGGTACATATACATATGTAGATGCAGGCTTTTGTCTCTGTCTCTGTCTCTGCTCACCAAATGGAATAAAAGTACATGAGTTCTTTGAATGCTACGTGAGTGCTATTTTTCACTTGTTCAACTTACCACATAGTGCACTAAGTAAATATTCGATCAATAAATGAAAGTTATGTACTTTTTTTTTTTTTGACAGGCAGAGTTAGACAGTGAGAGAGAGAGAGAGAGAGAGAGACCGAGAGAAAGGTCTTCCTTTTCCGTTGGTTCACTCCCCAAATGGCTGCTATTACCAGCATGCTGCGCCAATCCGAAGCCAGGAGCCAGGTGCCCCCTCCTGGTCTCCCCTGCAGGTGCAGGGCCCAAGCACTTAGGTCATCCTCCACTGCCTTCCCAGGCCACAGCAGAGAGCTGGACAGGAAGAGGAGCAACCGGGACAGAATCCGGTGCCCCAAGCGGGACTAGAACCCGGGGTGCCAGCGCTGCAGGTGGAGGATTAGCCTAGTGAGCCGCGGTGCCAGCCAGAAAGTTATATACTTTTCAACTTGCTGTTTAGGGATTAGATTTACCTTGACCATTTGTATTTATCATGTATTCTTGTTTTTTGTTGTTGTTTTAATTGAAGTCAAACCTTACATTTATTTTCCATTTTTGATTTCTTATATATGTGATTAGAAAGTTTTATGGAAAACATACATTAATTTAGAAAATTCATTTATTTATTTTTAAAGATTTATTTATTTATTTGGAAGGTAGCAATACAGGGAGGCAGAGGCATCTGCCTCCATCTGCTACAGCCAGAGTGGGCTGATTCAAAGCCAGGAGCCAGGAACTGCTTCTTTGTCTCCCACTTGGGTGCAGGGGCCTAAGGACTTGAGCCATCTTCCTCTACTTTCCCAGGCACATCAGCAGGGAGCTGGGTTGGAAGTAGAGCAACTGGGACTTGAATCTGTGCCCATATGGGATGCCAGCATGGCAATTGGCAGCTTTACCCACTATGCCACAGCCTCAGCCCCTACTTATTTTGTTTGGAAAGGCAAGAGAGAGAGAAAAAGACAGAGAGACAAAATAGGAGATACAGAAACAACTTCCATTTATTGATTCACTCCCCAGATACATGTAACAGCTAGGACTAGGCCAGGGTGAAGGCAGGAGCCCAGAATTCTTTCTGGGTCTCTCACACGAGTGGCATGAACCCAGATAGCTGAACCGTCACCTGTTGACTCTCACGGTTTGCTTGAGCAGAAATGTGGAACTGGAAGCTGGTCAGACTTCAGAGCTCATACCAGAGCACTTCAGTGACGGGATTTCAGTGTCCCAAGCAATGGCTTAACTGCTAGGCTAAATGCCCATCCTCATCTTTTAATTTTAATGAAAGCAATCTAGTATTCAGACCCTTCTAATTTACAATACCTTGAGTGAATTTCAGCTATATTGCGTGTTGCTTTTTATGTCACTTTCGAACAGTATGTATCTATATAGCAATTGTCGCTCCCCCTCTTCGTGGAGGAACGACACAGGACCCTGCGCTGTTCTTTGGTCTGCTCGGCCCTCCCCGGGTTTGCTGCTGGTTCTTCCCGGGTTGGCTACTATCCCTTCCACCTCCGTGGAAGGGCAGTTCCCCCTGGCCACATTCCCCACTTCCGCAGGGGAGCGGCACACCGCCGGCCGGCTCTCTCAGGGGCTGCACAGGTGTTCCTTCAGATGTTCCCCTTAGATGTTCCTGGTGCATGCCGTCTCTCTCCTCCTTTATAGTCCTCCTCCACCAATCCTAACTCGGCTGCCCACATGCCGAGTACGCTGCTCTCCTCCAATCAGGAGCAGGTCCTGCTGTTTATTGGTTGAACTGGAGGCAGCTGTGTAGAAGCTGTTTCCTCCTCTCCCAGCGCCATATTGTGGGAGAGCAGATGCATAGAATAAGTCTTAATTCCAGTAACTGTATAGTCCGAGTTGCTCCCCACAGCAATGAAAGTATGAGTGTATGTTGTATGCATTCATTTTTCATCCAAAAGATACCAGATTTGGTGTCATCCATGAGTGTTTTCCTTCTAAATGAACATATTCCTGAGAAGTACTTTTAGCAACTCCTTTGAGAAAAACCCCTGTCAGGTCAAAATTATTCATTAGAAAGGAAATTGAGCTTTACGGCTTTCTACTGAAAGAACTGTGTCATTCGCTGAGGCACTTCCTCCTGCTCTCTCATCTTCCTTCACTATTCCCCCTCCCCCATTCCTCCTTTGCCTTCTCTTACACCTGTGGCCTTCTGGTTTGGAGGCTCTGTGGCTCTGTAAGCTTGACCTTGGTCTGAGCTCTCTGCCTGCAGTAAGTAAGTAAGTAAGTGCAGTAAGTAGCTATGATTGAGTGAAGCACTGAGATGTTGAATAGGCAAACTGTAACTTGAAGATACTGTGTTCTTAGGGTACAAAAAGCCAGTAGACTTAGGAAGGTCACTATGCAATAGATACCTACAATTGTTCACTTCTGTTTTTGGTCTCAATTTACGTGAGGCCAGTGCTAGCAGTTTCCAAGAAACAAGTGTTTATTATATTTTTTCATTTAAAAAAGCAAATGTTTTGCTTATCCAGGTGGTATTTTTGAGGCTCTCCTAGCTCTTTATAGAGGGATAATACTAAGTGAAGAAGTCATAGTCTGTGTTCTCAAGCATTTTATGGTCCTGTGGGAAGTTCAGCAAGATAGAAAAGGATGAGCAATCGAAAGAGATAGGGTAGTACCATGGAAGATCTGCTTGGTTCTGTTTGTGGTGGAGTGGGTCTTGCGGTATCAAGAACTTGGAGGAATTAGTCATGTTTGTTCATCAGGATATGCTTCCTGAATAATAAAAGTTGATGATATTTGTAGATAAGCCTGTATTGCCATTATCCATAATTGTTTAGATACATAGAACATTGACAAGATGAGATATGCCTGTTTTTCAGAAGTCAAGGAAAAATGTAACCTATGTAAACACCCACTAATTAGTGAAAGAACATTCTTAGGCTCTTGAAAGAATGGCTGAACAATAAATGCAAGCAGTCCATTTTTTTAAATAAAGATTTATTTATTTGAAAGGCACAGTTACAAAGACAGAAGGTGGGGGGAGGCAGAGAGAGAGAAAGGTCTTCCATCCACTGGTTCACTCCCCAAATGGCTGCAATGGCCAGAGCTGCTGAAGCCAGGAGCCAGGAGATTCATGCGCGTCTCCTGCCTGGGTGCATGGGCCCAAGCATTTGAGCCATCTTCTGCTGCTTTCCCATGAGTGTTGACAGGGACCTGGATCAGAATTGGAGCAGCTGGGATGCTAACTGGTGCCCATGTGGGATGCTGATGCTATAGAGGGCAGTTTAACCTGCTATACCATAGCACTGGGCCCAGCAGTTGATTTCTTTAGTTGCCTGACCTAGTAGTCAGGTGCATTATATGTATGAGGACTCAGTTGCCCTGTGGGCGCTGGTCATGGTCCTGGCTGCTCCTTTCCAATCCAGCTCTCTGCTATGGCCTGGGAAAGCAGTAGAAGATGGCCCAAGTGCTTTGGCCCTTGTACTGCGTGCAAAACCTGGAGAAAGCACCTGCCTACTGGCTTTGGATCCTCCCAGTTCTGGCCATTGCGGCCATCTGGGGAGTGAACCAGTGGATGGAAGACCTGTTTCTTTCTCTGCCTCTGCCTCTCTCTAACTCTGCTTCTCAAATAAATAAATAAATAAATCTTTTTAAAAAAAAGTTATTTAGGCTCTTATAATCACTGTCTGCATACATTCACAGACTGTGTGTGTGTGTGAGAGAGAGAGAGAGAGAGAGCGATTATTTAACCAAAGGGGTTACCATGTTGCTGTAATTTTCTTGCACAGCAGTTCTGTACTGCAGAAAGTGATTAGACAAATCCCGAGATCTTAACTCAGAGTATATGTTGTCATAAATCAGGACATTTCTTGGAAATCCCAGAATTTATTTTCAAAGCTGGTATGTCCTTTTTTTAGGAAAATATTTAAATTCCATACCGACAAAATCCACTCAAATTCCAAGTGAACATTACAGTGTGTGAGGTGATATCTTTGGTACCCTTTTATACTTGAGTCTGTGATGCTACCTCAAGCATTGTGGGAAAAATTAGACTGTCAAGCAGTAAGAAATTTATAGTTCTCCCACTGGAACTGTAGGGAAATCATGTCTTTTCTCATTATCTCACTAAATCTTATTTTTTTCCTTTTCTTTTTACAGATATTAATTCACGAAATTGGAGGGAAAAACATGGATTTCTAGTAATTGAAGAACAAATTAAGGTAATTAGTAGATTGTCGTTGGCAGTCATTATTGTTAGTGGTTACAGAATGCATTTAATGTGTTTGTTGGTATATGCATATATGAATCTGTATTCTATTGAGAATGTAGCATAATGTTGAATAGGTTAAAAATATAGGATTTTACTTATTTTTGAAAATAAATTGACATTTCTTTTTATATTACTTCAGCAAATAATTTGACATATGTTGTGAACAAATTATAAATATTACTCAAAATATTTGCTTTTGTGAGGAAGTATAGGGCTAAATATAAAGTTTTAGGAGCTCTTAACCTTTTTGAAAAAACACATGCTGTATTTCTTAACTATTTTGGAGTAACTGCACTGATTTGCTTTCAGTTAGTACACATGCACCCACACAGTGTATTGAAGTCTTTCTTGTTTCTTTGAATCAGTTGCTGTTCATTACATGTCTGAATCATAAATATTTTTATGAAAAATATATACTCAGTAAGTTTAATAGAAAGCAAAATATTTTCATAAGTGTTGTCTATAGAAGATATAGAGTGCAACATAAAAGATTTCAAGGTTTAAAACCTTATTTATGTACTTAACATTATCCATGGCAAGCTTTAGAAGGCAAAACAGACCTTTATTTTAATCAATCAAAAGTAAAATTAGGATTTCCTCTTTGCTTGAAGTTACTAAAGTAAATTTGAGTTAAAGGACCTTGGAATGTCTACAATGTAAATTATTAAGAATACACAGCCTAGAAGTCAAAATAAAAAATTCTCTTATACTCGTTTCTGACATTAAAATGGCTTATATTCATTTAATATTGAATTGTTAATATAATTGGTATAAATTGTAAGTTATTGTTGATCTGTTGTCAACGATTTTTGTTGTTTGATTTGCTGTAATAGTACAGAATGACTTAAGACTATGGAAGCCTTGCACTTGCATTTGGAGCCAGTATGTTTTTCAGTAGGCATTCCTTCTGTTAAATATTTTTACCTTAATTTCTTTGTCACTGTTTTCTTCTCCATATTCATCCATATTTGCAAACTTTTTACTATTGTCCAGAGTAGATTGGCTCTCTTATTTAAATGTGGTACTTATTTATAAATTAGAATCTGACCTTGGAAACATTATCCCACCCTTTTGAAGAAGTGGTTTATTTTGTCCTCAACACTAGTGAAGCAAATGAGTTAGCAAAAACAAGTTCATTCAATAATTCCTTCTTCTCCTGTTGATCCAAACAAGACTTAGATGCACTTACACTGGAGGTATTGAAAACTGATGGGAAAGATGTAGCTCTCAGATACTGCACACATTTTAAATGAAACATTGACAAACTGCTAAGGAGGAAAAGTTGGGCAAGGACACTATTCCTGCAGACTCTTGAAACCATCGCGGAAGGGGCTGTTGGGACAATGAAGTTGAGTCAGTGATTTCAGGCTCACAGACCTGTTTTGAAATGTTACGTACAAGAGAACGGGATGGCTATTGAGGGGTTACTATTTCCAGGGTGGCTGAGGGGTGACAAGTGTGGTCAGGAGATGAGATGAGTAAGGCAATTTTGGAAAAGCCAATGAAATAAAGTGTGTGACAAAATAAAGCCTAATTTTCTAGTCTAGAACATTTTTATATTCACAGAGGTCTGGGTGTAAAATTTCAGAAACTCTTCTCATAGTTGCTTGCATTAACAGATATATGAAACAGGCGTTTGGCCTAGGTTAAGACATACATGTCCCATGTCAGGGTGCCCACGTTGCATTTATATTCTGGCTCCCAATTCCAGCTTCCCAACCATGCAGACCCTTGAAGGCGGAGGTGGTAGCTCCATTTGATGCATTCCATTATCAGCGTGGTGGGTTTGAGTCCCAGCTCCTCTTCCGTTTCTAGCTCCCTTGCGACATGGGTCCTGGGAGGCAGTCGGTGATGGCCCAGATCCCAAGGACTTGGGCCATCTCCTACTGCTTTCCCAGACCATAGCAGGGAGCTGAATTGGAAGTGGAGCAGCTGGGACTCGAACTAGTGCCCATATGGGATGCTGGTACCGCAGGCGGCAGCTTCATCCACTACACCACAGTGCTGGCCCCCCAGAATATTTCATTACTCTAAAACTAAACTCGTATCCATTAGGAGTTTCTTCTGTTCCTCTCCCCACACTATCTTTCCCGATCCTATGTCAGCCGCTAACATGCTTTCTCTCCCTGGTTAGATGATGTAAACAGAATCATATTATACACACAGTGTTTCAAGCTTCACCCATGTAGCATGAATCACGACTTCATTTATTTTTATAATTGAATAATATTATGTTTATGGACATACAACATTGTATTTATTCATTTATCAATTTACCAATATTTCAGGTTTTTAAAAATACTTTTTAGCTATTATTGATAATGCATCATTGGGCACTGGACATTGTGGCTATTATGTATTGCGTTTGTATACCTAGGGGTGGAATTGCTAGGTCATGTGGTTTATGTAGATTAAACTATTTAAGGAATTCCCAAACTGTTTTCCAAAGTGAATGTACCCTTTCACATTCCCAGCAGACATGTAATATTTTTTAACATTCTTATGTTCAATTTTCTCATCTGTAACGTGGTATTAAAATGTTATCCTCCAGGTAGCTTTTAGAATAGAGCTAGGTGTATCTTAAGTTCCATGTGAATGTCTGTAAAATGAACTACCAATTTTTGATCCTCTAACTGCCAGGAAAGATGTTTTGGAGAACATATATTTTCAAAGTAAATGTTCTCTGAATGTACTTAACCACAGAGCATCAAACCAAAGTGTTAAAAATTATACAGCCTATTTAGTAAAATCATCCTCAGAAAGTTTTGCTTAATGACGCCTTTCTTTTAATTTCTTATACACAAATCCTTGGAGCAAGTCTTCAATTCTCTTTCTCATATGGTGCGCACCTACCAGCACACTCTGTGTGACTATTTTTCTGGCCCTCCTGGGCGACTAACTTGATCCAAATATGCAACAGCTCCTGCCTGGATAATTATTGCAGCCTCCCAGATGTTTTCATTGCACTGTTAATATTGTAGAGCAGTCACAGACCATATTGAGGCTGTCTGCACTTGGGCTGATCTGGCTTCCTTGCCATTAGAGGCCGTATGAGACCAAGCTACCCGAGAGCCTTCGCCGCCTTGGTTGCTTTGCCAGTCACAGTGTCCCCAGAATTCACACGGCTTGGTTCCAGACTTTAGATATACTCTCCTGATGGCAGCTTTCCTTGTACACCCTATTTGAAATTTAAAATGTCTGGAAGAACCCTTTGTTCCCATTTCCTGCTGTACTTTTTCCCAGAACACACATACCACTGCTCTATGCACAATTTCCATGAGTCAGTGTATTCTAAACATTTCCTCTAGAAGCATCCTTGAATTTCTGTTTTTAATGGGTCTTTTGTAGTCTACCACTGGCCTTTCTCATGGATTTGTATGTTAGAAAGATAGCTCCGTGTGCATTCGCGGTGACTCCGTGATTGGAGACAGATGGATGACCTGGGAAATACTGTCAGTAACTCAGGTGAGGTGTAAGGGCACAGCAGTAAACATTGGGTGGTGGTGACCTATTTCAGAGTATTTACAAAGAAAATTGGCAGGTCTTTGTGACTGATTGCATTTGAGTAGTGAATGAATAGTTGACATCAAGGAAAAATCTTAGATTAGAAGCTGGCATCCCACTTGATGGTTGTGCTCTTTACTGAGCTGTGTAGGGAACAGAATTATATGCTGTTTTGTGTATTTATTATATATGTTTTGTGTATTTATTATTTATTTATGTATTACAGAGTAGTGATTGTTTTTCACAGTAAGTAATTTTTGTTTTTTACAGAAAATCATGCAGAGTTGGATGTTAATTTTCATCTCTAGGTAGAAGCCTTGAAAAGAAGGTTATATTATTTAACACCTTAAAAAGAAGGTTATTAATTTTCTCACATTTTTTCACCCCATTGTGTACATAAATTAAAAAAAAGTTTTGGTGTGCTATGAAATTACATTTTCTGATGAATTTCAAAACCACAGCATGCGCAGGATGTAAAGACTGGCCATGGGCAGAGTAAAATCACATTAATTATTCAGACAGTCATTGTTCCTTATTCCATTCTTGGAGATAGAGTGGCTGTCACAGTCTGTCAGCTGTGTAGTTTAGTGCCCTTCAGAATTACATGCATAAATGGCAACCTTTGGATATCTGCATAAAGATAAGGCTGACATTCGAGTGATAGCTGCCAGTCAGTTGAGTAAAGCACAAGTTGCCAACTACCAGTGAAACTGAGAACAGGACATGAGGCAGTGAGCAGCAAATGAAATACAGCCAGCAGCAAACTTACGTTTTAATCATCAAAACAAAAACAGAACCCATTTTTAAAGAAATTTACAAAGATTAATAAATCATATCCCATTACTGAATATCTTTTGATCAGTATTTTTTGCTGTGTACAGCATTTTACTAAAGTAACTAAATTTTGTAATGCTAAAATAAATGTTTATTAAATATTATAAAATTTATGTACATTCAACACGAATTATTGATGCTAACTTTTCATTATTTCTTGTCTTAATGAGCTGTCCCTGAACTAGCAGCAGCCCTGTCAAAATCGTGTGTTCTGATTTTTGTAGTTGATCAGATTTGCTTCATCTTAAACTGTCCACTGTCACCAGTAACCCATGGCATTGAAAATACATTGAGGCCGGCGCTGCGGCTCACTGGGCTAATCCTCCACCTTGCGGCACTGGCACACTGGGTTCTAGTCCTGGTCAGGGCGCTGGATTCTGTCCCAGTTGCCCCTCTTCCAGGCCAGCTCTTTGCTGTGGCCAGGGAGTGCAGTGGAGGATGGCCCAAGTGCTTGGGCCCTGCACCCCATGGGAGACCAGGAGAAGCACCTGGCTCCTGCCATCGGATCAGCGCCTTGCGCAGGCTGCAGTGGCCATTGGAGGGTGAACCAACGGCAAAAGGAAGACCTTTCTCTCTGTCTCTCTCTCACTGTCCACTCTGTCAAAAAAAAAA